ACTTATCGTCATCATATACCTGAAGGAGCATCTCTGCCCGCATCGTTCAGCCCGGACACTGAGGTCCAGCTCCGAGGGCCTTCTGACGGTTCCCTCCCTGTGAGAAGTGAGGTTTCAGGGAACCAGGCAGAGGGCCTTCTTGGTTGTGGTGCCCACCCTGTGGAGCGCCTTCCCATCAGATGTCAAGGAAATAAACAACTACCTGACTTTTAGAAGACATCCGAAGGCAGCTCTGTTTAGGGAAGTTTTTAATGAAACCCAGCCAGATGGGTGGGGTATAAAATAAAGAATTATTATTATTATTATTATTATTATTATTATTAGCCAGCCAGTCCATGACACCATTCTGGCTGGAGTTGATAGGAGTTGGAGGCCAACGAACACCCAGAGGGCACCACGTTGCCTACCCCTGGTGGATAGGACCGCAGCCTCAGTGTCATATTTTGTTGTCTCAGAATCGTGATTTAGTAGATAACATGACATTTTATTCAGCATTTTACAATTACGAAAGCGCAAGACCTTTGGAAATAAAATGGTTACAGGCCGCATGTGCCCGTAAGTGGAAAATGTACTGCATGGCAGAGTGCCTGTTCAATTTTACGATGGCATAATATAAAATATATAAGCAACATTAGAAGAAGTGACCCATGCACTCTGATACAGGGAGCTGCTTCAAGTTGGAGAGAACACAACGAAAAGGAAGACGGTGAACAACAGAACCTGGATGCTTATTACAAAGGCAAGTGGCAAATTTGGGAGTTTGCCAAGCACAATACAAATTTGATTCCCACCAGAAAAAATGGGTGGTGTTTCTTTGTTGCCTTTCGCTTCGAACTTCACTGAAAAGGGAAATCAATTATTAGTTTCTGGAAAAGAGTGCTCCAGGGGCTTGTATCCACTGGAATTCATGCTTGTCTGGGCTGCCTTATCTTATCATCCTAGATTTCATTCAAGCTGCAGCTAGCAGTGAGAAAGGACACCATTTGGTTACCAATGGCAGGGTGTTTGTGTCATCAAGGCGGCACCTGGTTCTACAGTTTATACTGCAAACCGCTCTGTGATCCTCGGATGAAGGGCAGTATATAATTTTTAAAAATAAGGTAAACAAGATTTCAGCTTTATGCCAGGGGCGTAGGAAGGAGGGGTGGGGGCAGATCACCTCAGGTACCCGCACCGAGGGGGGTGACATTCGGTGCGCTGCCCACCCGCGGCTCCCAAGCCTACCCAGAGTTGTCGGGGTAAGGGAGGGGCTGCGCCACTTTGTCAGCAGCATTCCCCTCTTCCCCCTTCATTTTGACAGCTTGGGGGAGGCTTGGGAGTCGCAGGCAGGCGGTGTGCCGAATGTCCACCATGGGCGGCTCGCTCCACCCCTGTGAGCGACTTGCTCCGCCCCCAGCTGCAGGGCCCACTGTCGACATGCAGAGGGGTCGGGAGGCCAGCTGGCAAGCCCAGCTCAGATGTCTCCTTCCATCAGCCCGTACTCCAACGTAAATCAGCAACCTAGACTTCAAAAGCCAGGGCACGCAATTAGCAGAGTGTGGTTCTCACACAGAAGTAGGCATGAGGTGTAAGTCATGCTACAGATTTATTAAACATAAATCAGAGCAAAGAAAAATGTCGTCTCTCTCGCATGTCGTCTCAGAGAGAACAGCAAAAGCAAAAGCTATACACAAGTGGAAGTTCCCAGCAAGCTGTGCTGGAATGTAAACAGACATGTGACATGCAACAATTCCACATGCCTGTTCCTTAAGGTGGAACGGAATTCTCAACACGCACGTGCTGCTCCAGGCACCTGAGCGGCTAACCCGGCGCCTGGGAGGGCACCCTCTGTGCCCATAGCTGTCAACTTACAGATTTGAAAATAAGGGACCAGCAGCCTCAAAAATAAGGGATCAGCAGCCAAAATAAGGGATTTTCCGAACACAGGTATGTTCAGTTTCTGAGCCCCTCCAAGCCAAAGGCAGAAAATCCAGCCAGCAGCCAAACGAAGCCTCAAGCGGTGGTTCCCACAGCAACCCGGCAAAGGGGATGCAGCAAGGGAAACCACTGTCACCTGTCCGCTGGGAAGCACTGAGCAAAGGCGAGTCCCCAGGCAACGCGGCCAATTTGATCAGCACAAGACATGCAAGCTCCACCCCCCAGTCGTTCTTAGACTTCTTATTGGGTGAGCAACACAGCCAAGCAACACAGTTGGAGCCTCCCTCCTCCCTGGCCGGCAGGGAGGGAGGGAGGGAGAGGAGCTGCTTCCTTTGAAACCCGGGAAATTTAAGGGACATCATCAATAAGGGACAGCAGTGGGACACAGCACTGGGATAAGGGACTTTCCCGCCAAATAAGGGACAGTTGACAGCTATGTCTGTGCCACGCCCCCCTCGGGAGCTCGCCCGCCCTGGGCAGCGTGGGCACATGCTCTGCCGCTATTTCCTGCTCAGGCTCCTGTTCAGTCACTGCTACTTCCTGTTCCACCTTCCCTCACCCTGTCAGCTGTTCAACACCCTCCCCAGCCTCCAGCCTCCACGGTGCAGGAAGGTGGGAGTGGCGAACCAGCAGCCCTGCTCCCTCCCTTTTTTTAATAGAAAATCTTTATTAATTTTCACATAGACAAATATACACGAGTTACATAACATATAAAACAGAAAATGATACAAAGGAATAGAAACAATCAAATAAGAAAAGATAAAGAAACAAACACAAACATATACAATATATTACACTTACATGACAGATTAAAATACATAACTTCCAATAATTCTCATTATACTACTTATATTATCTGTATTCCTTGCACAAATTCATATTATTTTCTTTTGTGTGTGTGTGTATATATATAACCCACTATTATATTTTATGTAATTCTTGGTTACCAGTATCACTCTATTTCTGCAAGTACGCTCCCCCTTTCAAAATGGCTGAGGTCAGGGAGGAAAGAGGAGATTCCCCCTCCTCTAATCCAGCTTCCCACCATTCAGCCATTTGTCGTCCTTTTTCAATCGCTTGTCCTTTACAAGTGAAATTTGTGCCTCTCTGAATTTCCGTCCACGGCGGTTAAAAGCTCTGCACATCTGCAAGCCTACCTGTGCAGATGGGTCTTAAATTAGGACAATCAAGGAGAAGCATATGTCCCCCTGATTTAAAATTCCGGCCTAAACTGGTAGTGCTAAATCCAACCATGAGGGGAAAGACATGAGATAGTAATGGGAAGTTGCACTTTCTGAAAGCCTCTCTTCTACATGACTGTTGAAGGCGCAGGACTCCTGTTCTCCTTTCCACCTGGTCACCCGAGGTTGAGGCTATCCTAGGTCGGCCTGAGTCCTGGCCTTCAACTCTGCGAAGTCTAAGTGAGCAGGCCACAATATGGGCGACGTATCTTGAGCTCAGCAGATTTGTTTTCATCACTTCTGCTGTCTGCAAATTTGCAAGCGAGAAAATAATAAAGTAATTTGCTGAAAACATTCATCACTGGAAGTGCCTCTCTATGAAACTTACGTTCCACTTTGTTTCAAGAGGGGACAGATGTTCAAAAATCTGGATGAGGACTTGATATTGCTTGGGGGGGAGGGATGCTGACGTGCTTAAGATTCCTATTAGAATTATAGTGGAAGTTTCAGAGGGATTCCAATTCATTAAATACAGAACTTTATGGGACGTAAGACTTATGGAGCAACCCTAAGATTTGCTGTGTTATCAGATAAAGTGCTCAGCGGGGCTACGTAAGCTTTTTCGCCCGTGCAATGCCACACATTATAGCATAGTGTTCCTTGGAACTTCTAAGATAAGTATGGATAGGGTTGCAACGTCTGGTATTTTCACATGCACCGTTGAATATATTTTTTGCTTCTGCTTAAGGCTGTGAATTTTTAAAAAACAAAAATTAAAGCAGCTTGTCTGCTGGTAGTTTAAAGAGATTAGAAAGCAACAGGATCTTATCGTTTATTGTTTGGGCAGTTGTTTCTGGCCATTTACATATTTCCTCATGAATAATTCACCTTAACTTACTGTCTTGATCTGGAGCTGACAGAAACATTTAAATGCTCTGTTCTATTCAGTTAATGCCAATACATTAAAAATATGCTTGGTTAATACCAGTTCCTACAAGGGAAATAAAATAACTGAAACTGCAGCATGGAAATAAATTCTGAAATAAAATAGAAAAAATAACAGCAGAATAAAACCGGCAGCCCAAAATCAGAACTGTACAAAACATCTAAAATGTACTAAAAATATTGAAGGTTTGCATCTGGTAGCCACTGCCTACGATCTTCTGTAAGAAAATGCTTCATTTTTCTTTACTTAAACTTCCAAATTATCACCAAACAAAAAACTCTGGCCAAGGAAATGACAAAGGCTTGAACTTCACAGAGATAATGATCCTTCTAATGCCAGATTAGTAAAGCCTTAGAAACCAAAATCACATTTTCCCCCCAGTCACATGTTCTTGAGATTAAGATAAACTGCAAACTACAAAGGCTGGTGTGAAGAAAAACGAAGGTAAATGGAAAACAAATGTGGTGATCTGTGGCCTTTTATGTGCTTTGGCATGATGACTTTTGAAATGACCACCTCAGTCTCATCAGCTTGCCTTTCGCTTTTCTGGTTCCTTCTTTTCATCACCTTGTAATGCCTTATATTTCTGAACTGGAGAGATCAAACTGCTGCTGCAGTCTTGGTTTCAGTTTTGCCATTTCAGGCATGCCACCTCCCATTGGACATCTCAGCCAAAAAACTGAGGGAGCAAGGCTTGCCTAAGCTGCTGCAAGCACCAGTCCCTTAACTACATAATGAAAAGGGAATCAAAATCAATGCATTTGCCACCTTGACAGAAATGTGCATATATGTGCAAGGGTAGCTTAGCAGCAGCAGCAGCAGCAGCAGCAGCAGCAGCAGCACAGAGTTCTAGCTTAGGACCTCTCTCTGGGACCAGAGAGAGGAAAGCTTGTTGTTGTTGTTGTTTAGCTGTTTAGTCGTGTCCGACTCTTCGTGACCCCATGAATCAGAGCACGCCAGGCACTTCTGTCTTCCACTGCCTCCCGCAGTTTGGTCAAACTCATGCTGGTAGCTTTGAGAACACTATCCAACCATCTCATCCTCTGTCGTCCCCTTCTCCTTGTGCCCTCCATCTTTCCCAACATCAGGGTCTTTTCCAGGGAGTCTTCTCTTCTCATGAGGTGGCCAAAGTATTGGAGCCTCAGCTTCAGGATCTGTCCTTCCAGTGAGCACTCAGGGCTGATTTCCTTCAGAATGGATACGTTTGATCTTCTTGCAGTCCATGGGACTCTCAAGAGTCTCCTCCAGCACCAGAGGAAAGCTTACTGAGCTGCATAAAGGACTGCTTGTTTCCAATGTGTTGCTTTGCTATTTTGCAATGTTTATCTTATTGTAACTAGCATTTAAGGCTGTGTAGTAAAGCTTTGAAGTGCATTCTTGTGGTGGAGAGAATTAATTTCTACACATGGTCCAGATCAGGGACTCTAACACCCCCTAAAAGGTAAAAAAAAGAGGTAAAGGACCCCTGGATGGTTAAGTCCAGTCAAAGGCGACTATGGGGTTGCGGCGCTCATATTGCTTTCAGGCCAAGGGAGCCGGCGTTAGTCATGTGGCCAGCATGACTAAACCGCTTCTGGTGCAACGGGACACCGTGACGGAAACCAGAGCGCACGGAAATGCCATTTACCTTCCCGCTGGAGCGGTACCTATTTATCTACTTGCACTGGCATGCTTTCGAACTGCTAGGTTGGCAGGAGCTGGGACAGAGCAACGGGAGCTCACCCCATCACGGGGTTTCGAACCGCCAACCTTCTGATCGCCAAGCCCAAGAGGCTCAGTGGTTTAGACCACAGCACCACCCGCGCCCCTTTACTTTTTTCTAACACCCCCTACTCCCAGCGAGACCATTAAGTCCAGAATCCAAAAATACCTAACTGCACCCATCAACAATGGTGGCCCCTGGAGACTCTTGATCTCACAGTCGTGGGTTTGAGCCACACACTGTGCAAAAGATTCCTGCCTTGCAAGGGGTTGGACAAGATTCTGCTCCCTTCCAGCTACACAGTTCTATGATTCTGTTATTCTGTTGCCTGGCTTGCTGAGCAGATAGCTGCTGTGATCCTACTGTGTGTTTCCATAGCATCTCAAACAGCTACCTGTACTGTCTCATTGCTCACAATAAGGCATTCATTCCGCTGAAAGCAACCATTCAAATTTTGATTTATTCTTTTTAAAAAAACTTTATTGAAAGTTCAAAAAGTACATAATTATACGTGCACTAAACATGGTGAGACATAAATAAAAGGGAGGGGGAGAAACGGAACCCATGTAGAAGGGAAAATAAAGGGGGGGGGACCCAAAGCTGTATATTTTACAAGGTATTTGTAAGAATGGATTCCAAATATTATTGAATTTGTCCACGGCAAGTCTGTGTTTAATGCAAGTTGTTCATATGTTGTGAGTACGTATAAGTCTTCAATCCAATCGTAGACAAGAGACACATTTTTATTTTCCCATTTAATCAGTATCAGTCTTTTTGCCGTGGCAAGGGCACAGAGAGTCCACTCGTATTGTCCTTTCGTAAGGTTCCATGTGCTGGGTATATATGGTAATTCAAGAGGATATTTTGTTTTGTAAATGTAAGGTTGTTCCGTACAGTTCTGTTGATAGTTTCAGTTACCTTCTGCCAAAAACCTTTCGATATAAGACAATGAAAAAACATATGTTTTAGAGAAGCAAATTTTGATTTATTCTTAATTCTGTTACTCTAAGGTTTTCTAGGGATACAGTAAAGGGGTAAAGGGTCCCCTGATCATTAGGTCCAGTCGTGACTGACTCTGGAGTTGCAGTGCTCATCTCGCTTTATTGGCCAAGGGAGCCGGCGTACAGCTTCCAGGTCATGTGGCCAGCATGTCTAAACCGCTTCTGGTGAACCAGAGCAGTGCACGGAAACGCCGTTTACCTTCCCACCAGAGCGGTACCTATTTATCTACTTGCACTTTGACGTGCTTTTGAACTGCTAGGTTGGCAGGAGCTGGGTCCAAACAATGGGATTTGAACCGCCGACCTTTCGATCAGCAAGTCCTAGGCTCTGTGGTTTAACCCACAGCGCCACCCACATCCCAGGGATACAGTACTGTCTCCTTAATGCACATTGTTAGCTTGGGGGATGGGTGGCTGCCAAGAAACGACCCCCCCATGCAGTCCATGGTTGCAGGATGGGGGGTAACAGTTTGAAATGGGAAGCCAGAGAAGGAAAAGTACAGTTTTTTTCCTAGCTTTTGGCTTGAAAGAGATCCAAGAGCCACCAAGGGATTGCTGCTTGTTTAAGGAGAATCTGATGCTGCTTTACAGACCTCCAGCGGCCCCCATGCTCATACATTTGTCAATAAGTAAATAATACAAAAAACCAGTCTAAGCCTCCAGTACTTTTTCCTCTGACTGTGAAGCGGTAATCATACCCTGCTAATACCGAAAGACTTTGGGTCGCTTCCAGATGACCTGTTTACAGGGAATTCATTCTGCTTTATTTGTGGGGAGATTAGGCAGTGTTGGCTAATCTTTACTGAGAGCTCCCTGGGAAGGTTAGAGGATGTTGCATCAAGAATTGCCTACACTTTCCCAGTAACTCTCTTTATTTCATTAAGTCTGATTTGGGGGGCAGGGGAAAGGAGGGTTGTTGCACAAGAGCGGTAAATCACCTTTAACTGAGCAACAAGGTCTTGCGAATGTGTGATTGAATTCCTCACCAAAAAACAGCAACAGTCTGGAAGCACCCTGGGGTCTTTGAAAGGATCAGGGAAGAGCTTTCGTTCAGTGACAGAGCACATGTTCTGCATGCAAAAAGTCCATTGTTTAACCCCTGGCATCTCCACATAGGACTGGGGAGGTTTTCTTCTGGAAAACCTGAAGAGTCACTTCTGATCAACAACACTGATAGGTGGGTTATGAGTTCTTTGTGGCAACCCACCTATCAGTGCATCATAGCCAGACATTGGAGAGACCTGTCAGGAGTAAGCATGGACCAATGGTACCAAATAGTATGGGAAACAGCCCTACTAAAAAAATTAACCAATAAACTGAAACTGACACAGGGACAAATAGAAGAAGACACCTTCACCCCGGTATGGCTCCCCTTTATCACATACACAGCCCAACAAGACAACGACAAAAATCCACAAACAGCATACAAATCAATATGGCTAACCTGATCCAAAACACCCACCCACCCCACTCACACATGAATGCAAAGACCACCACAGCCAACCACAAATGAATAGCCACACCCTATGCCAACCCCAACCTCTCTCACCACCAAAGGAACATAAGCGAACGGCAAAGAACCTGCACAAGCAACGCTGACACCAAACCCTACATATAGTAAAATAGAAACATCGCCACCCAACCCCAACCCCACCCATCTTCCCCCCCCTCCACCTCTTTCCCCTTTTTCTTCCTAATGTCTCAACAAATGAAATTGATTTGTAAAAATGTTGCATGGGGGAAAAACACGAGAGAGAGACATTGCACACTTTTGTAAATCAACAAAATCTTTAATAAAAAAAACAACAACAACACTGATAGGTCTGGCAGTATAAGGAGGTTTCTCATCTAAGGAATGCTGCAGGAATACCACTTTTGAGCATCTTGATAATTTCTCCTCCCTCCTGGAGCCCTCAATAGGAGGCTTGTATCTAGAGAGCTTGAGCAAACCTTTTCATCACAGGTAGTTTCTGGCCAGCTGGTGGTTTCTACAAACCTTCAGAAGTCTGTTCCTCCTCTCCATGCACTGGAATGTTGAGACCTTTAATTTACAGGCAGAAAGCATTTTCTTTCTGTGAGGGATTTATGGAAGGAGATCAATCTCAATTCAATTTAAAGACTGCTTATCGGCAGGCAAAACATGCCGTCATCCTTCTGTGAAACAGGCTTCTGGTTTAATTTACACAGGAAGGAAGCAGGGGTGACAACTTGAATAAAATATTGTGGGGGGGGGCAGATAAGCCCCACCCCACATAATCCATTACAAGATGTGGCACACACACACACCATTTGAATGGCAATGCCATCAACTTGGGGAGGGGCTCCCTCAAATATATTATGGGGGGTGCAAAGGGACCTCAGTCCTTAGGAGTTGACTCCTGTGGAAGGTGGCCAACGCAGTCCAGGCCCCCTTACCATGCAGAAGTTTGGCTTAGAGCTCTGGAGTTCATGCTTTGCGTGCAAAAGGTCCCAGGTTAAATCCTGGACTTAACTAGGTAGGCACGGGGGGCAGGATCCTGACTTGGTGTAGGGTAGCTTCCTACATTCCTATTTAAATGAATGCTCCTTGTGTATTGCCTGTTTGTTTTCATGGAGTCTGCAGAAAAGTTCCTTTTGAATTGTGCTCACAGATGACTGAAGCCAGTAGCTGGAGGTAGCAAAGGATGCTCAGCTGCTATAAGGTGAAGTGTTGTCATTAATCAGAGGCACAGTATAACTTGCACATCACACTGCTGAGAACAAGGATGGATTTGACACAGTGCTGATACGATGCGATGTAAAACTGACGATATAATTTTGTGCGGTATTAGATTAGGGCAAAGCAAGCCAGGTTTCCAATCTAATTACTGCTCCAGAGCTGATGGGGAAACTTGTGTCCTGTGCCATCGCTTTGACAAATGCTTTATGATAATCCACTTATATTGAAATTATCCCAGTAAAACAACAAGCATGTGTTTGATCTCCTGGTCCTGCTCCAGGTCTGTCAGTTGAGTTGATGGGATGCTTCCCAATTGGGAAAATGAGTTTGTTCTTGTTATATCGTGGGGTGCATCCATTTTGAGGGCAGTCGAGAATCTAATGGCGTTCCCTTGCTGAATTTTGTACGTTTCTGAGCACAATCCAAAGTGTCATGCTGACCTTTAAAGCTCGAAATGGCCTCGGCCTAGTATACCTGAAAGAGCATCTCCAGCCTGGACACTGAGATCTAGAGCAAAAAAATAGAGTGCCTGGACAGGGACTTTTAAAGCGTGGTCAATACAAAGCTAGATGAACCAATAGTACGACTCAGTATGATGCTTTTGAATTATGGTGCTGGAGGAGACTCTTGAGAGTCCCATGGACTGCAAGAAGATCAGACCTCTCCATTCTGAAGGAAATCAGCCCTGAGTGCTCACTGGAAGGACAGATCCTGAAGCTGAGGCTCCAGTACTTTGGCCACCTCATGAGAAGAAAAGACTCCCTGGAAAA